TTTTTTTTCCCCCCTTTTTTTTTTTTTTTTTTTTTTTTTTTTTTATTCACTAATACCCCTTTTCTCCTTTTATTTTATTTTTTGTTTACTTTATTTTCTATTTTCTTATCTAAAAAAATATTTTTTTTAAAAAAAAAAACTTTATTTATAGCCTTAGTGGAAAGCTGTGTAAGATTGTCCATATCAGAAAAGAGGGTTGTTGATTTGGAAACATCATAAATGTGCCTTTTAAATTAATTTTTTTTAATTCTTAAAATAAAATGAGAAATTCATCTAAAATATATACTTTCCACTAAATAAATAAATATATAAATTAAAAATTATTTTCAATTTAAATTAATTTACTTAGGGTTTATTATAATTAAATTTGTAATTTTCTATCTAAATTTCTAAATATTTTATTCCAATTCACACAATTTTAAACCATTCTTATTCAATATCTAAATTTCTTGATCATTAACAGGTCGGTCTTTAATCCAAATTTAATTAACAATTAGCGACCTAATCGGTTACCTATAACTTCATTTATATCTTCATCTACTATATTTAGTTGTATGATATTAAGAGTTCGTTTTTTTTTTAGATAACGAGGGATAGAAATACCTTAATCGCTAAGATTGGGTTAAAATAATTTATTAGTTTCAATCTAGAATGTACACGAGCTAGAATTTGGAATCGATTCTGACTTAAATTTTTTTGGGTGTGTGCGGATAAATGCTCGATCCTCGATTGATTATTCAGTTTCCATATAAATTCGAATTCTGCGGATGATTCCATTTCTTAGTAGAGAGATTCTCTCACTCTCCGTCTCTCTAAATTGATCCATTCCTTAACATGTGGTGTTTCGTTTCTATTTCTTTCGCTTTCCGATCGATACCCCTTTCCCTCCAATCTTCCAATACTTCCGATTCTCACCCATTCATGTAATTTTCGTATTATCCCTCATTTTTACTGAAATTCCGATTTGATTTTACCCCTAATTCCGTGGAAATCGGGTTTCGATTTGATCATCTGGATATTAAAATATTCTTCTGGGGTTTCGATTTGTTCATCTGGGTATTAGAATTTTCTTCTGGTGTTCTTGCGATGAAGATCGTGGAATTGGAAGATGCTGGGAATGATCGGGAAAATGAAATGGGTAGCGGTCAGATTGTGAAGGTCGATGCCAAAAGAGCGTTGGTTGGGGCTGGGGCTCGAATCCTGTTTTACCCTACCCTTCTGTATAACGTTCTTCGGAACAAAATGGAGGCTGAATTCAGATGGTGGGATGAAATCGATCAGGTTCGTTCGTTTCTTTGTTTGCTTCGTGTTCATCGAACTGCTTAAGGATTATCTTTAAACTTTGAAGGCGTTTTTGATCTGTTTGGCTTTTAATTGTTGAAGTTTGTATGTGTAATGGATTTGATTGTTAGAATCTGATGAACTTGATGATCAGGATATAATAAGACTGTATGAATCCACCTGACTTCGTGGATTTGCTTCTTTTTTGTGTGTGTTCATGTGATTTTTGTTACAGATTTGTCTCTGCATTATACTGATCAAGGATTTTCCATTGAGTTTTTCTGTCATTAATGTCAAGAACTTTGTCTTGCCTTCCCAGTTTCTTTTGCTCGGTGCAGTGCCGTTCCCCAAAGACGTGCCGAGGTTGAAGGAGCTCGGTGTCGGCGGTGTCATCACTCTCAATGAACCTTATGAAACATTAGTTCCATCTTCGTTGTATTATGTGAGTTTTGCTTCTTTGTTTGCAGTTGTTCATGTGTATTTTCTTGTTCATAGAGCTTGAAAGATTGTGTTGCCTGATTCAATTGAAGAGAGACGAGTTTTCTTGTTTCGAATAACCATTTGGGACATGAAAGTTGTACTAATTGGCTGACTTTTTAACGTTCTGCAGCGCTATGGAATCGACCATTTAAAGATCCCGACGAGAGATTATTGTTTTGCTCCGAAATTTTCTGACATTAGCCGAGCTGTGGACTTCATTCACAGTGAGTTATTTTCGTAGCTGTAACGTTTTGTAGCGACGTTTCTTCCCCTGTTTCTTACAATATGTGTGCTATGATTTAACATGTTTTTGTTCTGTCTTCAGGAAACGCGATGTGTGGTAAAACAACGTACGTCCATTGTAAAGCGGGACGAGGAAGGAGCACGACCATTGTGCTTTGCTATTTGGTAATATTATGTACTACCCTTCTATGTCGAAATTCTGTACTCTAGTGAGACGTGAAAAGAAATCCTCTTTTCTGATATATTCAGAATTTTTATGTGAGATCTTACCTCGGTTGGAGAGGCGTGGAAACCTCTCCCGAACAACGTTTTAAAAACCTTGGGGGAAGCCCAAAAGGAAAAGCCTAGGACCAAAAGGAAAAGCCTAGGATAGGGGAACGAAACATTCTTTATAAGGGTGTGAAAACCTCTCCCTAGCATACCGTTTTAAAAACTTTGAGAGGAAGCCCGAGAGGGAAAGCCCATGAGAGAGGGGAACAAAACATTCTTTATAAGAGTGTGAGTGTGGAAATTTTTCCCTAGCAGACTAAAAACCTTAAAAACTTTGAGGGGAAGCTCGAAAGAGAAAGCCCAAGAGAGGGAACGAAACATTCTTTATAAGAGTGTGGAAATCTCTCCCTAGCTGACACATTTTAGAAACTTTGAGAGGAAGCCCAAGAGGGAAAGCCCATGAAGAAGGGAACGAAACATTCTTTGTAAGGGTGTGAAAATCTCTCCCCTTCATAGACTGCATTTTAAAAATGCCAAAAGAGGACAATATTTGCTAACGACTCTAGTTCCGGTCAATCGTGTGGACTTGGGCTGTTACATTTAAACTTACACAAAACATCGAGATTATGCTGATTTTCTTTGTTTGTTGTTCAGGTCAAATATAAGCACATGACCCCATCTGCTGCGCTGGAATACGTGCGCTCGAGAAGACCACGGGTGTTGCTCGCCCCCTCACAGTGGGAGGTAAAAGAAATTACTCCTTAAACTTGGAAGTCTTTTAGATCAGAAACTTGTGGAAATCAGATAGTTTCATCCTTATGTCCTATATGACACACAGGCTGTTCAAGAATACAGCAACCGGCGACCCGTTGCAAGTTCTAGCCCTCCCTCAGGAGGAGATGCAGTCCTGATTACGAAAGACGATCTAGAAGGATATCACGGTACGTGCATCGACAGTGCAGGTAGAGAACTTGCAGTTGGCCCTTGGATGGGTAAGTCAAAGCCAATGATAGCAAGGTTGTCCTGCCTCTTTTCATCGTTGATAGTTCATGGCAGCAGCGGATCTCTCATGAAGCGTCTGCCGGTGTCGGAGGCTCGTGCTTGTTGACGATCAACTTATGACCATAGCACACGCCTTGTCATGGAAGTAAGAATCAAACTCTTAAGGCTCAAACAGAGTCGTTTTTCTTAAGTTGGTAGTAGAACACCACCAAATAGTGACACTACTAGGTTGTACATAACTGCTACATCAAAATTTTCACTTCCCTTAGAATCATCTTCTCAATAAAACCTTGTGGTTTGTTCTGATGGAAAATATTTAGCGGGTTTGTATAGTTGGGTTTTTTTTTTTTTTTTTTTTTGGTTGGTTTTTAAATAAATGAAAACTTTATGGATTGAGTTTTTTTTCTAGAACTAATTGAATCGAACCAATTCGAATTTATTAAAGACACAAGTCTCAACAACTTTCGTTCTATACCGTCCTTTTTAGCTGCATCCACATATCCAAAATTCATAGCACGTTATAGTTATTAGTTCTAGCGGATCGGGGAAAGGGGATATCCATTTCCTTGTACTTAAAAGGAGTAAGTAAAGTAGTTATCATAATTGTTTTGTGTATACTAAAAAGGGGAAGAATCCAAGAAGAGGTTGTGATATTCCACTTTGCACTAATATATAATTCTTATTGCAAATTCTTTTTGGGACCAAATCTGCAAACCATAAAGAAACCCTAACCCAAAGCCCTTCTTCCTACCTTTAAAAGCAACCAAAAACAACTAAAATATCACTTTCTTTTTAGGTACATCCTTCCCTCCCAATATTCCCACTTTAGGATCTTTCCTCTACCTCTACTAACCCTAGCGGGGTGGAGAAATTATCAGGCGTAACCAATTAGGTAGCGTGGATATTGATTATTGATCGTTAAAGCTGGATAACCTAGATACACGAACTAGCTTTCGTACCCTAAATAATCTCGTAAAACAACTATTTGTACTTAGAACATCGTTCGTTGTGGAAAAAGGCATAGGATAACAACCATGATTTAGATTAATTATGAAATAAAAACCATCCAAGTTTACGAATGGAAATGTGGAATAGTCTAGTTATTTAACGATAAGATCTCACATCGGTTGGAGTAGTGAACGAAGATTCCACATCGGTTAGAGAAGGGAATGAGTAAGGGTGTGGAAACCTCTCCCTACCAAACACCTGGTTGTGTGCCAATGAGGACGCTAGGCCCTAAGGGGGTGGATGTGAATTTGGGTTTTACAAATGGTATCAGAGTCAAACACCTGGTGGTGTGCCAATGAAAACACTAGTCCCAAAGGGTGGGGATTGTGAGATCTCACATCATCAGTTGGAAAAGAGAATGAAACATTTCTTGAAACCTTTCTTTAACATACACGTTTTAGAACTGTGAGGCTAACAGCGATACGTAACGAGTCAAAGCAGACAAAATCTTGGTACTTGAGTAAAACTCAATTGATTTAAAGTTTGGATCTCGAATTCAAATTTGTCGGCTGACCCACAACTTTATATTTCTAAAACAAACCCAAAAGTTTATTCTTCTCTCTCAATCTCTTTTATATTCATAATATCTTTGTTCTTTCTTTTATTCCCTTTAGAAACTACGATGAAACAGCTACCTAATCACACTTCCAACTTTATTATATAGTTTCCATGCACGTTCTCAACATCTAAAACAACTCAACATGCACCACCTTACTCTCTGTTTCTCTCTATATTAATTAATAACTGAAAAAAATAAAATAAAGTTGGAATCTTTAATGGAATAAAGCAAAAAAACAAGAACACAGACCTATAGTATGAAACCCATGTTATTCTCGAGCTTATTTTCGACATCTCGAACGAAAAACGACGTATCCAAACCCTAAATACAAGCTCAATAAGATTTGTGTAAGAAACCAAAAATTATTTTTAAAAAACTATACAGAATTTTTTTAAAAAAAAAAAACAATGAAAATTAAAGGAAGAATAAGTGATGAAGAAGATGATAGTGTAATGATAAGGGCGATGATTTTTTGGTTGTAAAGCTGCAGCTTTTGTTTTTGTTGTTCCCTTCTTTCCAGGTTGGAGTTATAGCTGTGTTTTATGGTGTAATTTCCAAGAGAAAGGGAAAGAGTTGGAAGCTTAGGATGTTTTAATGACGAGGATAATAATGTTGTCTGTTTAAGGAACAAGCTTTGGTCTGGTTTTTTGGTTTGGTTCTATCAATCATGATTTGGGTTGTCGGGTTCAGGCCAGAAAGGAGAGAACTTCATCCATTCTGCTGCTTCTTCAGAGTTGTTTCCCATGGTTGACTCCTACAAAACAAAAACACAAACTCAATGCATATTAGGTCAAAATTAGGGTTTCGAGATCGAACATTTGGCTTTTTTTTTATATATATATTTTTACACAATTTAATCGTCAGCAAGATTCTAACTTTTGGATAGCTCTCCTTTATTCAAATATTTCAATTTCTCTCGATCCCGATCGGTTAGAGAGGGGAACAAAACATTTCTTATAAAAGTGTGAAAATCTCTCCCTAACAGACACATTTTAAAACCGAGAAGCTGACGATGATACGTAACGGACTAAAACAGACAATATCTACTAGCAGTGTGCTTGAACATTACACTTCGAAGAGTTCTAAGTTAGACTCCTTAGTTCTATTCTCAAATGAGTTAGACTCCTTAGTTCTATTCTCAAATGAGAGTATCACGAGAAAACTTAAAAGCCGGAGGAAAAATGTATCAAAATGATGAGAATACCTGCCTATGCAAGAAGCGTTGAGAGCTCCTATCGACTTTTTGACTTGGGTTTGTTTTTATCGACTTGTTAGTAAGAGCTCGTACTGATCTGATTCATGCACGACAAAGGCTAAAGTCGAACTCTAAACCCTAAACCCTAGGAGACATTAACCAAAATTATGGCTTTAAAAAAACAATTCAAAACAAAAGCTCTCAAAAGGAAGTTGATAGAATATATTCTCTTGTCTTTCTTCATAAAATAAACACAAAAATCTTAGATTATGAACTGAAAATTATAATAAAAAAAGAGCTAAAGAGAAAAAGGAACCCTAAGAGACAATATCATCTTTAATTCAAACTGATACCAATAAAGAATTTGGATTTCTTTCCCTTTTCCCCCCTCATCTTCCTTTTGATTCTCAAAACATTTTAAATTATTGTTTCAATCTTATACCTAATCGATCTTTTAAGCCTTCAATTTCGTGTTTTATAGAACGACCGAACTATTTGACATTTTTTTAAAAGAGTTTAAGACAGAGAACCGAAAATTTAAGAACCCGCCTTTTTATTAGATGCAAAATCAAAACTTTACGAACGGTCGAGAAGAAAATTAGGGTTGAAATAGAAAAGGGTGCATAAAATTGACTCACTTCTTTGATCTTAGATGAAGAGCAGCCCATTATGAGTTCTTCCAAACCAGAAGCAGACCTTCCTCCAAGCTTATTATGATGTTGATGTTGCTGTTGCTGTAAAAGAAAAAACCATCATCTTATGTGACTTTCTTGTTCTTAATCTTTCTTTTTCAAAGCTTATAATATTCCAAAGTAAAATTCTTCATTTATTTACCTCAAAAACTAAATGGTTATGAAACGAGGTCTTAATTGATAGTTACCTTACCTGAAAGCTTTCGTTTTGTGAAACTCGGTACGAGTCATGGTCGAGAATGATCGAGGAATGGTGGAGAGAAGACGGGCAGATGATCGTGGAGATTGGATTTGAAGGACGGGTTGTTTGAAATGCAGTAGTCGCCATGGAAAGATGGTGATCATGGTGGTGGCGATGATCTCCGATCCCCTCGCCCGGGGCAGCTTCTCCAATACCTGCCTATCGAAAATTTAGAACAAATTAATTATATGGATTTCTCAATTAGATTCCCTAATCATGGCTTAATCTTCATTTTATGTTCCTAAGTTATATTCTTCCTAAATTTCATTTAATTAAAAAAAAAAAAGACAAATTTTTCCTTTTTCTATGAAATCTTTTGTTCTTAAAAAAAACAATAACCTTAAAAATTGGAGAAAATCAATTGTAATTGAAGCATAGAAAAGTATAATTCTTAAAAAAGAATAGTTTTTAAATAAATACGAACCTCATCAAAGGTTCTCCTGAAGGGACCAAAGCTAAAATGGTCGGCTTTGAATGGTTGAATATGATCCAATCCGCCGTAAGTGGCGGCGAAATGTGGCGGAGGACAAAGGCCGCCGCCGCCGCCGCCAACTGGGGATATATCGTCTCTCTGGCGGGTTGCCATTTGCCGAGAAGGTGAATAACTCCCGCTCACATTCTCCCTTTTACTGAGAACAACATTGTCGCCGGTAACCTCGGCGGAGGCAGCGGCCTTGTCGGAGGAGGACCAGTTGCACTGACGTGGCTGTGTCTGGTAAAAAATCTTAGAAACGACAAGCTCTCCTTCTCTCTCCTCCTCGTGTTGGCCCAAATGGTATTGGTGCATAACCCAATTAGTTTTTTCAGGCTTTCGATTTTTGCCGAAGTTTGTGTAAAGAACAAGGATTTTTTTGCAGCCCTTTTGGCGGCCGTTGACCATAACCGGTCGTGTTTTTCCGGTCTTGTGCCACCGTGTTTCCCCGCCGCCGCCTTGGATGTCGCATTCCGTTTGGATTTTTCTCCGCTTTCTTGTTCCTGTCGTGTAAGCTTTTGACGGCCTGTGGAAGAAATGCCTGCTCAACCCATCTCTTGTCACTCCTACCCCCATTAAAAAAGAAAAAACCAAAATTATTAATTTTTTTCCTTTTTTTTTTTTAATTATTATTTGTCGGGTTCGAACATTGCGGCTAACCACTCTATTAGATCGCATACACAAGGGAGAATTTTAATACACCATTTTAATTTTGCATCAAATAGTTAAAACGACACATATTTGTGAACCTGATAGAGTTATTCAAGTTAAATAGTTGACTTCATTATAAGAGTCGACCCATAACTTTTTTGGTTCGATAACTTCAAATTTAAAGAAGATGGGTGTTTTTGTTGGTATTTTCAATGACACAACGGGCATACCCCTTACTTCTAAAGCATTGATTTGAAGCTCGAGTACGTGTCTGTGCGCCGTTTTTTTAACGTTTTTCATTCGAAAGGATAAAAAGAGAGAGTTGAAAGAAAGGGTTTAATGAATTACCAGGAAGCTTTTCAGGGTGAGTATAGCAAATCCCATCTTCACCGTCGAGTGTAGGAATGAACTCATCAATCAAAGGGTGAGATTTGATGTCATTTTTGGCTTCCACTTTAGCTTCAAGATGTCCTATCAGTTCTTGGTCTGTTGGGT